GAGCATTAATAGTCAGTAATGATGACGGCGCTTCGTTGCTGTGTAATTGATATTAGTGGGCCTTAAGTCATATTGAGCGCAAGGGTAGAGAAGTACCGTGAATTTATAAATACAACGAGGGTTTTATATGCTTATCCTTCATAATGCATAACTTGTTGGTGTATTGAAGTTTGAGAGTGTCGTAGAGAAGCGGAAGTGAAATCATTCATTAACTGACCTGGTTCCAATTATAAACATAAACTTTTATAGCAAAATAATAGTAATATTAGAGCAGAAAATATTTTTTAATTTTTAATTTTTGAATTACAAAAATGTGTACGTCGATTTGGGCACAATAAAGCTCTAATTCAGTTCATTGTTAAATGCATAGATCGCTATCTTTTTTATCCGTATAATTAAAATATATTTAATAAATAATTCTATAATTATTCGAAAATTTACACATCATTAATAAATAATTTTGAACCGTGATTAAATAGATAAGAAGTGAATTTCAAGAGTAATTATAATTTAAAAAAATATAAAGTAAAGATAAGGCAAAACTCTACTTCATTTCAATTTTAACAATTATGGGGGACGCAGAGGCGGTAAGTTGTGAAACTTTATTTACCTTACTCAATAATGTATACGGGAACATATATATGTATGTGTATTTAACCAAGCGCATGCTTGTTTTCCAATTTTTTCATAGGAAATATTGGAAAAATTCTTATGGTGTAAACAAGTAATAAGGAAATTAGTTTAATATTTTATTTTTACTCATATTCATAATTTGATGCGGTCTGCCAAATAAAATTAAAAAAAAACATTTTCTAGTATGTAAATCCAAATTTTTATTAAGGGCTAAAAATAGGCTTCATGCCAGTTCCTTATCGTCTTATCCCAATTTTCCATATGCTTGTTATACTAATAAGCTCCGACATAGATGGCTTAAGTAAATGACTTCGTTTTGCCTGAAGCGGATTTTCCAGTTTCGAAAATAGAAATAAGTCACAAAGATCCACATCTGCGTATAGCGTCACTGAGCAATTACTCTCCTTTCGCATTCGGCTGAGTCAGTCACAGTCATAACAGACAATGACGTTGCATTATCGTAGAGAATTATCCATAAATTTTATAATCACAAACCCTGTAATTTTCGACGGATTCCTTCTCGTAGGCCCCTCAGAAAGACCAAGTAGCATTCTTCATTGACTGTTTGACCCTGTAACCGAACTTGACGAGTTTTTTCGGATTTGACTAATATTTGAAAAATGTTAACACTTTTGTCGTCATATTTATAACTTATGTACGAACCTTGGTATCAGAAATACATAAGAATTTAAAGCACAGTTTTTTTTAACGTTTTCGATTCAAACGTCATTGACTGAGGTGGATTTTTGTAAAAAGTAAAAATAAGAGTAGAATCAATTTGATTGATCCGATGATTGCACCGGCCCACAAACCGTTGTTTTTCTGGATGAAATGGCGGCTCTTGAATCTCCTCACGAAGAGCATTCGTCCCAAATGCGGCAATTTTTCTTGTTTACATAACAATTGAACTAGAAATGAATCTCATCGCTGAACAAACTTTGTCTCGAAAGCATCGACTAGCCCATGGAGTGAAGCGATGTCGCTCGGAAAGGTCGAACGGCTTCAGTTCTTGAACAAGCTGCATGTTGTATGCTTTCAATTTAAGATCTGGACGTAAAATGCGCCAAGTCTTTCCATATGTTGGGCCGAGTTGCTGCGCACAACGACGAATCGACTCTCCTTGGCCTTTGAGACATGACTGCATTATTTTCTTCACTGCGACTGAACGTGATCTATTCGGTCGAATATTATCAATTGCTCAGTGGATCGATTATATTGACCATAACTTGAGCGAAGCGCGCAAAACATAATTTTTACAAAACGTGAATTTTCGTAAGTCTTTCTAAGATTAAATGCCAAACAATACTGAACAAAAATAACGTGACAGCCTGACACCACTCCAGCGTGATCTGCCAAAGAAGTCAACTATAGGTTCTGACCGATTTGGACAATTTATTATCATACGTAGGCATACAATAAGGCATTATTTATGCTAAGTTTTATCACGTAAGGTCGATTGTTTCTTGATTTGTACACTAGAAAGGGAAGAGTCTGATGGAACTTTAAATTTTGTCCGATTTCGCTCATTATCGCACTGTGATATAAGAACGTCACGTAGCAAATTTGATTGAAATCGGTCGAGCGGATCCTGAAATATGAATTTACTTAAATGTCCATCGCCCTCATTTGCTAAGAAACATGTGCACCAAGTCCCATCATAATATATTAATGTTTACTCTAGTTACATGCACGGCTAGATGGAAGGACGCACAGAGGGACAGTCACCCGGATTTCAACTTGTGACGTCACCCTGATTAGTTATACAAGATATATAAAACCCTATATCTATCTCGATTAGTTGTAAAACGTACAACTGTTAGGTGAACAAAACTATTATACTCTGTAGAAACTGGTTGCAAGAATATAAAAATTTCGGTAGTTAGAGCTGCGTTTAGATACAGTTTTTCTGTTTTAAAATAGACCTCAACTGACGTAGTAATTCAAAGCTTAATTCAGAAAATTTTTCATTTCATGATAGGAACACTCACTATGTTCAATTCGGTCCTCTTAAGAGGATCCCCTTCAACTTCATTTTACAGTCATTTAAAATCATTATAAGTTTTAAGTTTTTTCTTTTTTTTTAATTTTTTAATGTTTCCATTTTTTATAGTCTTATGTGCAAAACTAAAATCAAAAATTTTTAATCATTGAAATTTCTATATTCGCAACTCCCTGACGAATTATTCAATAGCTGTGCAATTTACATACGTGTCTGTTGAAGGTTTACTCTAGCCACAAAATATATGCGCTCAATTTTAGTGTCTCCCGCTTAAATATACGGCCGGCTTGATAAGATCAGAAGATAGCAATCATAATTGTAATCGATTCGCAATTACATCTAATAATGAGTTTTCACGCCTTTGTGTATATTATATAATCGGCCTACCTAACCAGAACTCTTCTTTACTATTGAAGAAGGAACAACACAAAGCAATAGTTCTTTGCATATGCAACATTCTGAGGTTGTAAGTGCCGTCATACACAAAGGTGACACTCTGTCGAAGCCTGTACCGCCTGTATCGAAGCTTTTCACCGGTTCGCCTATTCCTCAGAGCTTTTAACCCTTTTTGGTCGCTTGATTTGTACACAGATGTGTCAGCGCCATGCAAATTTTGTACGGAAGAATTTGTTATTCAAATGAGGCAGTAAAATTGTACGAAAATAAAAATTGTACTTTCGATATTCATTGTAATAATGACCTTGTTGCAGCCGACGTTGATTTATGGTGGCATAGGGTTAAGAAATACAATAGTCAATGTTGTCACAAAATCATTTCGCAGGACGCGCTCAGTTGTAATGCAAATATATTCAAATTTTTTATTGAGCAATACATTTGAAATGCAACAAATAACAATATTTTGGTATACATTTCTGTGTGTATATATATGTGTGTGTGTTGTTAGGTTGGAATATAAAAGTCAACATTTGTTGAATCAATAAGCGATTTGTAGTCATTCGTTCAGCTCTGATTACAAGCGCAATTCATTATTCAGGTCAAATCTCCTACTCTTCACCAAAATGTCGCTGGAAGAAACACGAAATACGATACCATTAAAATATAAACAAATTCGGTTAAATCGTGCGACAAATGCCAGTAGACAGCCAAGCAAGATTTACATATTTATAACAAGCTCAACATTCCCTACATATGTATGTATCTACCTAGAGCTATGAAGAGTGGTGATACTATGTAGACTGGCATGCCGAAACAACGGAACTGTTACGCGCTATCGTAGCTTAGAAACATAATGCTGTCATTTACTGATAATTTATTATTCCTTTTGTCCTTCGCACATGCAAACATACGTTCCCAAGCATTTATTTACACACATAGGTATATTTAACCCGTAAAACTAACCAAACCACATTGAAACTATCTAGATGCGACCACCCATAAGTGGACCACGGCCACCGTTCCCCGGCGGCGGCATGCCGCCACGTCCGATGGCTGCGCCTCCACGCGCTCCTATGAATATGACCGGAGCACCCAGTGGTCCGCTGCCCAGAGCAATGCCACCACCATTGCGTAATACAGACAGTAGAGGAAATCTGTTGATGGGACCCGGGCCGGGTGGCCAACGTCTACCACCACCGCCATTACAAAATATACAAATGCGGCCGCCCAGCGGTAATGGCGGACCAATGAGTCCACCTGGACAAGGTCAACCACGACCGCCCGGTGCGTATCCATGGTCCGGTGGAGCACCAGGACATCAAGTGCCTGCGGGTCGTCCACCAAATCCCTACCTTGGGAATCCACCCGCGCGTCCGCCATTCGCACGTCCACCTGGCACACAGCAGCCACCGCCACGTCCGCCTTACCAACAACACACACAACCGCTGTCACAGCCGTCAGTGCATCAACCGCCACAGCAGCCATATCAGCAATTACCCACACAACAGCAGCCACCACCACGTCCGCCCTCGGCCGGTTCAAACAATAATGAAGATGACGATGATGTGGTCATGGGTCAGGCGATAACACCACGTAAAACGCCGAATCGGAACGAAGATCCAATGGGTCCAGCACTGTTGGCAGATAGAATGGACACGATCAAAGATACCTACGGCATGGGCGAGACACTTGCATCTATAGCCGAGGTGAATGCGAATGGTGTAAAAAAATTGTCGAGCATACACGAAATGCTCAGAAACGGCGCGGAGAACGAAAAGCAACAAAGAAACGGTGTCCACAGTAAGAACTTGAAATATTCCTAAGGCGGTAGTTAAAATTAATTTCATAAATTACTCATTCATCACTTACTCTTCTAGATGTTGTTGTGCAAGTATTGAGACATCTTGTTATTTGCATTTATTTTCTTCTCACACTCTTTCAATTAAATACTAATAAATACATTTCATTGCAGAGGGGGACAATGACAGCGGTGTTGATGAGTCTACTCAAGAGAAGGTGAGTGCGTTTACGAGCATAAACGCGGCTCCGTTATTTTATATTTTGATGTACATGTGTGTATTTATGTATCCGGGATGTTTCGAAACACCAAATACATTTTTGGCGAATTTCAGACAAATTGACCAAACAGTAATTAAACGATTATTATATATAAGCAGTTCAGGTCCAACCCAGTAAGCAAAAATATTCATGTAAAGCTAGCTTAGCTGTAAACCTTATAGTCTAGACTTGGCACCAAGTGCGTACTACCCGTTTCTGTCTATGAGAAATGCAGCAGAAGCTTGTGAAAATCGACTCCCCAAATTTTTTTTCAATAGGATCCTCGCTATGAAATACCTTCAAAATGCCAAAGATTTGTCTAACAAAATGGTGCGGATTTGTCCTAAATCGGATCATTCAGACTGTGCCTTTCCCTGAGCAAATTCACCACTATTTATATTTCATTACTTCTAACACAGATTGCTGCACCACATAACCCTCTCTTGTTAGTTACTTCGCTTCTAACACACCTGCCAAGGCTTTTTAGATGGGGAGAAGCCGTTGGAGGACGGATGAGAGATGTAAGTAAAGGGGAACAGTAGGTTATAGAGTTTTCTGTCGTGACCTTTACATCAACTCCAGTTTCATATTATCAGACCACTATGGCATATTTCTACGTTCTGGCGTTAGATCATTGGACCTTCAGTGAGCTCAGCAAACGCTGGTTAACAACCACAAATTTTGCGAAATAGTGCGCCGTATGAGGTAATCCGAACTGCTGGCTCTTAGCAAAGCCAATCTCGCCACAAGTATAAATATTCTCTCTGGACACTGTGTAGTAGGCTTAAACGCGGTGCGGCTCAGTAGTCTGTCAAACGCTCTTTACTGAATGGAGGAAGTTGAGGTAGAATTATCTTGTCACTTCCTCCTCTATTGCTCAGCTTTAGGAGCTCTAGACTAAAATTGCAATAACTCGGTTGAACCACCTTCTTCGAACATAACGAAGTTGTAGAGATCGATATTAACCGTCTTAATATGTGTACTGTAAGTACAAAAAGATTCGTTCGTCGATTGGTGACTATCTGATGTCTATATTTTAGGAGTTTTTGGGTAACAGAAAGGACGAGCTTCTATCTAAGTGAGATTCAACCACTTTGGATCAACCCCACGACCTACCCTAACCGAACATAACATTGTCAATAGAATATTCTAGACCTTATTAATCTCTCAGCTCAGCTTTGCGTATATGGTTTCAGTAATATCTTACAATTTTAATTTAAGAATTTTCACTTTTGTACATTTATAATGCAGTGCTGCATTAAAAGCCATAAAAACTTCGCACATTTTGAATGTTCACTTTCCTCCCTGAGCTTTTTAAAGTTTTATGTTAAATGTTTATTTTAGAGGCTATGGTGGCATATTTTTATATAAAAAGTACTCTCGGCTAAATTTTTCAACTGGGAAGATAAGCTCTTCACTTTTACTTCCAACTATTGCGTTTAAGTTTAGTAGACTAATAAACTAGAATCACTTTAAATTTTCCGGTGTTATTTTAAAACAATATAGGTGATACTTCTCAGTGAGAGGAAAGGTTGAGTAGTCGAAAATAGTATTTCTGTATTTTATCAATAGATAGTTCTATATCTAGTCGTATATCTCCATTGCTACCAATCGCATTGTGTCATACCGTATATACTGTTGGAAAGGTGAGATTTTAAGCTTCGTTTAACTAAAAAAACTTGAATTCGGGGAAGTTGAAAAAAGTTATAGCTGTTAAAAAATGAGTTGAAATAATAAAGAAATTCGCTATATTTTTAATTTTGTATAAAAGGGGAGAAGGCAGCAATGAAATTTGTGAAGTTTACGGAGACGATGCTTCATGATCAGTTCGTGTAGCACAAGAATGGTACGCTCATCTCCGTTCTGGAAATTTCGATGTGAAAGATGCATCTTCCTTTAGTCGACCTATCGTTGAAAAAGTCGATGAAACCATGGAAAAGATAAGATAAGGAACTTAATATTCAGCATCAAACGGGTTTGAACCGTTGGCCGTTGACCGGGTTGAAAGGCTGGCTACAAAAAGAAGCTCGCTGTTTGGGTACAACATGAGTTGTCTATGAAAACTTTAATGGACCGCGTTAACATCTGCGATTCTTTGCTGAAATGAAATGAAATCGAACCATTTCTGAAGCGAATGGTATCAGGAGATGAAATGGTGGATTAAAGACGACAATAATGTGCGAAAAAAATGATCCAAGTGTGGTGAAGCTCAACAAATGGTCGCAAAGCCAGAATTGTCGTCTCGAAAGGTTATGCTGAGTGTTTGGTGGGATTGGAAAGAAATCATCCACTATGAGCTGCTGCAGCCTGGTCGAACTATTGATTCCAAATTTTACTGTGAACAACTGATAAGATTGAAGCAAGCAATCGAAAAAAATGGCCAGAATTGATCAACAAAAGGAGCTTCGTCTTTCATCAGGACAACGGTAGACTTCACACATCTTTGATAACTCGCCTGAAACTGGGAGCGCTTGGATGGGAATTTTTGATGCATTCACCATATAGCCGTGACATTTCACCATCGTACTACCATTTGTTTCGGTCAATGCAGAACTCCTTTAATGGAATAAAGTTGGTTTCAAGAGAAAATTACTTGTCGCAGTTTTTTGCCGAGAAATCAGAAAAGTTTAACACTGATGGAATATGATAAGACTTTTTCGACTACCCAATATATCGAGCTTATTCCCAGAATCCCCTTATCTTTTTGAACCAGTTTTCTAACATTAACCAAGCTTTAAAAAATGTTGAAGATCGTAAAGTTCAGTCGCCTTCAAACTTTAAGTTTCCTGATAATTGCGTACTGGGTAACTTCACTAAGGAAACGCAAACGATTTTCAATTAATTTCTTTGCCTTTTTAAACACAACCTTAAAAGGTAAGCGGAATAATCATGAAAATGTGACATATATGTACATATATATAGTTGAGACAACGAAATGAAAGAAAAGCAATTGAGATCCCCATCTACAAACACACGCAGCATATCATACTATCGGCCCACACATACACGCATCCGTCCTAAAGCCAGACGCACGAAAGTTCTGCTCATAGTATATACATTTGCACAAATGTACTATAGGTGCTTGTGATGAACATCGGTGAATCTTGAATGATGTTGTTCAACGCTGAAATGGCGCCACGCTTCAATAGCGAACCCGCCCACATGCGACACATACCTAAAACCAACGGAGCTGTAACACACAGGCACATGTAGATATGTCTGGTTGACCTGCCTTCATTGAGGCAGCTGCCTCGCTGCTTTGGCCTGAGAAACGGTAGTTGAAAAATTTCCTCCATTCCATTCTAAAACTCAGTGCCGAACGAGCGATCTCTGCGCTATAACTAAACAGTTGTTTTTGCAAACAAATTTTTAACTGCTGTGCAGTAATCAAATATTAATAAATTTATTTTTCATTTTATTGTGCGCTATTGTGCCCGAACAATATTATTGAAGACTTATCGACATACCGTTAAAGGGCAACGCCAGAACAGGTGTGTAAATTTCAACAGCTGTTCGTGGTGATACGAACTGTCGTGGCGATAACTGTTTGTCTGTTTGTAGAGAGCGGGAGGGAGAGAGAGAGGTGGCAGGTAGCTTGTAACGGTTCTTACCTTGCCAATGACACGACAAGGATGTTTGCGTTGTGTGCGAGCAACTTGAGTTTGGAGTCAAGAAACTTTTCGCTGAACTAAATAAAAGTATAGTAAAACTAACGGCAAGGATTCACTTGGTAGAAACAAAAATAAAAAGCGAAGACCGAAAAAGACGCGCATAAAACAGAACAAGTAATCAAACAAGTCGACACAAGCCATGAAGGATAATTCGGAACAAATGTTTATTGATGAGTAGAGAACTTAACGGCACAGAACTTAATGGGCGCGGTGAGGGACATAATCGGAGAAATAGCTGTGCGCGAAACTATCAACTTCGTGAGACGCGCGAAGGGTGTTGGCATATTATTTATGTTTTTCGCATTTTTGCTACCGTTTTTGCTGTTGTTGTGCTGTGTATATTTATACGTTTTTCTTTTGTTTTGCCTGGTATTTTATTTAACTGTCTTTTGCACCAAAAAAATAAGAAAAAACCAAAAGTGGTACACTTTGCGTCGAGTTGAATCGATAAAACAATGTGGAATTCCTGCAAAATCACATTCGGCCTTTGAAGTCATAATGCTCGATTTAGTCGAAATGTCGAAGTGTACACAAGCGGTGTAGCCAAATAAGTCCAATAAACTTGCTTAACGCAAGATAAAAACTGCATTTAATAAAAAAAAAAATATATATATTTTAGCAGAATTTTCGCGGAATTTGAAATGCGCGAGAAAATGCATTTGGTGATTACAGCCGTTTCGAGTTTTGTAGTTCTAGAACAGGGTTTGCGCGTCGTAGTCGAAATATCACGCAAACAAATATATTTACATTTTATAAGAGACACAGATTTCCATACTCCAAGCGCTACGAAAATTTGTATTTTACAACTTTTTTCTTTTGTTTTAAAATTTAGGAACGCAACGGTCCAGGTTCACCAAGCTCTCCGGCTAAGACCCCGACGTCCACCACTTCAAAGGGCGAGAAGACTGGCACCTCTCGTCCGCCGAGCGCAACACCATCGAACAAATCGTCCAAATCACGTTCGACATCACGAAATCGCTTGTCATTGAAGACTCCCGAACCGGAGCCAGTTAAAAAAGGTGAGCGAAATCTACTCAATTATTTATTCTTATGTGCAAAGTAAGTTTGGTGTGCAGACCACGTAGTACATACACTAGTCATAGATCTTTCACTGAGTGCTTTTGCTGAACTTTATTAGAAATTTTAAGAAGCTTTCGTTCAAAGTTTACTATCCTGCCATTAATATCACTCATGAACTGTAACTTAAAAATTTCTGTTAAATTATATATGTATATACAGATATATGCCATAGTGGTCCGAACTGAGGAATTTGTTCAGAGCTTGTAGCTTTGACTTGCAAACTTTCAGATTGGTATTTCAAAAACCATATCGAACGAACATGACTCAACGATATGAGTAAAAATTATATGTATTAATAAACTACTTTACAGACCAAAAAACCCTGTAGTTCCCTCTAGATATCGAGTCGTCCTTCTTGTAACAGAGAAGATTAAAAAGTAAAAGGCTCCTAATACCCACTTCGAAGTATATTAGTGCTTGATCTTCTTTAACCAAATTTGTATCATACCCATATTATATAAGGGTTGGCACGAAGTGGAGTCAGAACATTTTTCATAAGCACTTCTTGCGATGGCCTTCAGTTCCTTTAGCGAATTTTGTTTTATCTCTTCGATCGACTTAAAACGAGTTCCAGGAAGCGGAAATTTCAGATTAAGGAACAAGAATTAATTACTAAAAATTAAAATTACTCAAAGCCAAATGTGGTTAATACGGTGGTTGTTTTATAGTATTCATTGCGTTTTTGGCTTTAAACTCGGTCACAATCGTAATCCTTTTGAAAAAAAAAATTCAGCTTTATCGTCACGAGTCGAGAAAGAACGCGTTTGATATCCAAAATATCCACCAAAATCATTCCAACGGACTGGCAAGAAATTTCCAGCTCTCTTTCCATCTCTCTGACACTTGCCTGATGATTTTCGCGTATCCTTTTTCTAATATTTTCTTCAGTTGAAGAGGTCGAAGGTCCTCCAGAACGAGGGATATCTTCAATGATATTCCGTCTTTGAAGTCTTTGTATCACTCGTAGACTTGTGTTTTTGATAAATCTGAGTTTCCGTAAGGCTTTTTCCAAAATTGGCAACGCTTCTGCCTACGAAATTTGGTTAGATATACAAGATTTGAGACGAATTCTTTCACTTATGACTTTTTCTTTAATCTCAATATTAATTTGTCAGAGTCATGAGATATCGTATCACAATAGCATATAGCTGCTAAATAGATGGCCGCAAACTGGCCTATCAAAAGCAAGTTCCTGTATGAAATTTTTTCTTTTATAGCTTGCAACCGAAGTAAACCTATTGTCTTGGTTTCGGAATATGTTTGCAATTCATATAAAACAAAAGTTATAAAAACCTTTTTAATTTTTTTTTTCCACAGTACCAATGAATAAAATACAAGTCGGTCACGCTCCTTCGCCCAATCTCAAAGCCGTGCGTTCCAAAATTGGTTCGCTGGATAATGCTGGCTATAAACCGGGTGGTGGGAATGTCAAAATCGAAAGCAAGAAGATCGAAATAAAAGCCGCGCCCAGAATTGAGGCGAAAAATGACAAGTATACGCCACGCGGCGGAGAAAAGAAGGTAAGATGCAGAGATCTAATATAAAAGCATAAATACAGTTATAAATAACGAATACAAGTAAGCGATTTAGCAGCAAATAGGTGAAATGAGATTTTGAAATTCTTCTAAAAGTCCACTTCTATTTACTCATTTAAGTTAAAAAGACACGAAATTTTATTTTTAATTGTAGTTTAGCGAATTGCAGCATTTGTGTCTGAAATATGTATTCTTGTAGTTTTGAATACACTTAAAAAATCACTGTTTTACACACTGTACAATATATATACCTATATTTATATACATACGTATGGTTTCAACTATTGGCTTCAGAATTCTCACTTTTTAAGAACTGTAGACTGTTATTTTCTTTTATCATTCATCTTATATACATTTACTTCTCGTATAAACCTACATACTCGTACATACAATGTTGTGGTGAAGTAATTTCACACTTGATTGATTTACCGATTAGCTCTTTATGATTTGAGACACCATTGAACATATGTTGTACTTTAACGGTCGATTAGTTTGCTGCGCGCCATATGAAAAAAATTGTCTACTGACATAGTATGGAAAGGAATTGGAAAAGCTTACATGAAAAATTCTTCAACGAAATCATTTTTTCCCTCAAATCTTATATTTGCTGATGAGTTCAAGCTCCACTTTCTATACTCCCTCATAGCCTTATACCACTTATATGTGTATTTAACAGTTTTATGCCATAAAATATGCCACTTTATACTTTAATTTGTAATATTATGGGCAACACAGATCATTTCGACAAAGCTACAGTGGAACGCCAAGTCGAAAATTGGCTCCTTGGAGAATGCCAATCACAAGCCGGGTGGTGGCGATAAGAAGATCGAAACAATTAAAACGGACTTCAAAGACAAAGCCAAACCGAAAGTCGGTTCGAAGGATAATGTTAAGCACGCTCCGGGCGGTGGTGATATTAAGGTAAGGTGTTCGCAACAGCGCAAACAAAATTTGAAAAACTTTTAATATCGATACAGTCAGGCGATTACAAACATACATAAGTACAATTGTATTTGTTGAATGGTTCGGCAGCATGTTCGAGTTACATTTTCTAACTTACTACATACGATTTATCTGTATTAAAATGGAATGCTCTGCTATGTACATACATACATATGCTCGTTTTGAAGTTGGTCAAGCAATTTCTGTATTTAAGCATATTTTTGAAAAATTTGCATGCCCCAAGCGAATTGGCTCTGCGTTGAAATTTGAATGTGTTTGGTTTAATAACTTCTTACTCAGTTTTGGCTGCGTACTTAGCTTAATTGTTTTTTTTTAGCGTTGCTGGCATGTAATTCAACTTGAATGAAATTAATCTGTAAATATATAAGCTGTATTATATACATATGCATAAGTAGATTTAGTATTGCTTTTATATAATTTAGGTATCTACCATAATTGGATACTCATTCGTATTTCTATGAAAGGTTTCAGTAAAAATTCTTCGTATTTTTTAATGAAAGCAAGCGGTGTTTTGGGGAACTTCGATAGAAATTAATATTTTCAAATTACAAAATGTATTTTTATTAATCTATTTCGAAACAATTCCAGTTAGAGACTTTAAAATTGTATGAATTTGGCTTCAAAAAGACAGTCCCACTTGTGAAAGTAGAGTTGGGGATAACTGAATCAAGTTATTCTTCAGAAATTATTATTATGCGTAAATTTCTTCTTTCCTTATGTTTACCAAAATTTAATTAGTTTTATGAGAGATATAAAGTTAGATCGTCAATATTATAGCAAAAATATTATTTCAAAAAAATTTATACCGATGAGAGCTATTATAGTATCCACTCAGCTAAAAATTGCTAATGAAGCAAAACTTACCAACAGATAAGTAGGAACGTTAACCTAATATGTATGTTATAAGTTGTGGAAAATTACTGCTTGAACTAGCGAACTCCACAATTTGCATTACCAACTAACGAGTGTTTTCATTGATTCGAATCCCAAGTTCTTGGTAGCTCTCCTCGATCATTAAAATCTTTTTTGAATAAAGTATATTTTTTGGATTAGGTCATAAACATAGCTTTATGAATTGAAGAACTTATGCTGTGAATGATCGATCCATTTAAAAATACCGTATGGCTAAACATAAAGTATGTCTTTTGAGCAATTGAATAGTTTCGATATTTTGGAACAGGAATTAAAAATTTGAAATGCTTCGTCCCCTTTGTCACCTGTCGGAAATTGTTGAGTACTTTGAAACTACTTTAAAAGCTAATTTAATTCCAAGCTCTATACTTAATTATTTATTAATAGCATTTTGTGATAAAAAAGGATCCGAAAAAAAATTATTATTTTTATCGCCTTCAAAGTAAATTCCGCCATGTGTAATAAATTTAAATTATCGATTTTTTCGGTCCGTGAAACACTTTTCATAGCACTTTTTGAAATTAAGGACACTTCTTCTAACTTACCAACTCCGAGTACTTTTTTGTCACAATGTATGCCTAAGAAAATTATTAGCCCTTGTTAAATTTTAAAACAATTGTTTTTAAACTCTTGTTTTTAAAATTATTTATGTAAATTGTTGATGGAACTTATAGTTAAATGTGGGAGTCCATGGGTCGCAGTCGGTTAAAATAATGCAAGTTTTCGAACACAAATATACTGGAAACGTTGTTTTATGAAGTTTCGAATATTTTAATTTATTTTAAAGATTTATAGTAGCAATTTTTATCCATAAATAAGCTCATTGTGAATTACTTGTATAGTGTTTTAAGGTTTTTTAGTATACAACAAGTTGGATAATTTATAATCAATTTATTATAAAAACTTGACGGTTTCAGACAACCCCTTTAAGACAACTACGTTGCAAATCTAACAGAACTGGATTATTAATCAACTTCTTATTTTCACTAAATTTGACCAAATTCAACTAAAATGAGGCAATAAGCATTTCACACTTCTATATTTATCTATTAATATAAATTATTGACTAATTAAAAATGAAAAATTTCAATTTGTGCTTTGATGATGATTATACAATATAATAGAACCCAAATGATAGTGCTGAATGTTATTGCTTAATGGCAGCATATGGTAAATGTGGAACTACTTTAATTTGGAGTCAAATAGATTATACTTTCTAATGTAGCTTTTAGTATCGTAGGATCTTCACTATTTATCTAACTACAAGCTCGGTCATTTGACATCATAGTACTTGGAACATCCTTTGAAGTTTATTTTTAACTGTCAAGAGAATGTTGATTGTCAAAATTACGTCATTCATCTACGTAACCAAAGCAATGACAAAGAGCGGATTACGTTCGACGATCTTGTTATTTATTCATTTTGGACGTCAGTGATAGTATCACAAAATATATATGTAATAAGATAAATAATATTCTAAGCTTATTAACTAACCGTTATATTTTTGATTATAAATTATACGTAAATAATAATAATTATTAAAAATTATTTACAAATGAAAATTTTATAAAGTGTATTATAAATATATTTCAAAGCTTAAATATGTGTATAAGATCAATAACGGTATTCCTGCGGTTTTTTTCTTCAAAATTCAACGTTTATTTAAGAAAAACATTTATAATATAATTATTTAAATTCTTTCCCATTAGAAGATAGACATTTGCAATAACAATTATGGGGATTTGTGGTTTGCATCCCGACAAAACTCCGCCAGTTTTTTGACCAAAAAGTAATCATGCCAATGTTTGATACTCTGTTCAATACTAGTGAGGGCGCATGTGGCCGAGCGTTTTCATAATGGGAAATTCGGCAATCGCTCTCTCATCAAATTGATGAGTTGTTGTCTCTTGGCACACCGCGCGAGTATAGTTATAGAGTCAATTTAATAATAGCTGTCTTCGATTCGCCAAGTGTTTTTCTCCAGTGAATTGAATAAACTATAGTATACCAGATGATCAAGCTAGTGAGGTATCCGCATACTATACGAATTCAACTCGATAAGATTTTTGTTGCATTTACATGTAATTTTTTGGACGGGAATGCAGTAACGAGTAAAAAAATGACGAGTCGAAGACCGCTATTATAATAGGCGCATTGAGAATATTTAGTTACACATGTAATTAAGTCAATGTATGTAGATATTATATATTTATAAATATGAATTCAATTTTGATTATGAGCTGTAGCGTTTTTCGGCATTCGTTTTATTTAACACTTCCTTAGTATTTGATTTATAGTACTTCATTTGTTTCTTCTCTTTTTCTGCATTTTATGTTCCGAAACTAAACAAACTTTGATTGATTGATACTGGCAAACTAAAATCACAATAAAAACGACAATAATTATGATTACTTGAACAAAACAAAATAATAATTATTCTTAACAAACATAAAATTAATGTAAGAAATCGCAAATCTTGAAGGAAAGCACAACCGCCAAGGATGTAAGTAGTTTGTGTGAATTTCATAAATTTGTAAAAAAATGGAAAAGAAAACTTTATTTTTTTTGTGTGTACTGTCCTTAGCGTCTTATTATTATTTCATACATTTGGCATAAACATGTAAAGCTAACGGCACAACACGATGCAACAGGTCACAAGCAGCTGCTGTAGATGAGTAGTGGTGCGTGTTGCGGATTTTTTTTTTTTTTTAATATTTTACAACAAATTTTTATTAAATTTGCTCTATCACAATTTTTGAATAATTCTGCGCTTAGAATTTTAGTATTTCCTACTCGTAAAATTCGCACTTTCTTTGCACCATTTGGCCGTTTTAGGTGTTTTCTCTGCGTAACTTTGAAATCTCACTCTTTTTTCATGTTTCGTTTAATTTTTTAGTGTCTCTTTTTCAAACCATACAAAAGAAAAAAAAAAAAACAAAAAATTTGTGTCACATTACTCTGTTGTGTGTTAAAATTTTGCAAATTATAGATTTTCAATACAAAATCAAATCGGGTACTTTTCAGATACAAACTCAAAAGATAGAACTTAAGGCACAAAGCAAAGTGGGCTCTTTGGATAACATTAAGCACAAGCCCGGTGGTGGGGAGCGAAAAATTTTCGATGATAAGGACTATCTGAAAAATGTTGAGCATACAGTTGCACTGACACCACCGACACAGGTAAACACCATGTGATTAACATTTCTGATACTTGCAAATTATTTTGGAATTGGAATTGTAGCAAATACGAGTTTTTAGTTATAATTGTCGTTTAGTTTTTGGCATTAAGTTTCACCTACTTCATTTTTAATTATATAATAAGTATAATTTATGCGTTTGAAATAAAAAATTTATTAATTTTTAGAATTTGTTTTTTGGTTATTTGGGTTTTGGTAGTAATCAAAATACTTACTCTGCAATCGAAGTGAGGCGGTGTTAAGAGAAACTACAAATTTAAAATAAATTTTGTTTTGATACATTTTGAAGTGTCCACCTTCACAAACTTCAAAAACAAAAAATATTTTTTATAAATGTGTTTAAGAGAAGGTGTTAAGAGAATTTGCCAAGAGAAATTAAATTTTTTTTATTTTTTTTCTGATTAC